TGCAGATAGGTCATCTCTGTTGTTGTCATTGAGCTGCATAACAATAAATTCCATCTCTCAACTATAATTTCAGATTTGCAGATTAGCAGAAGTCCTATGATCCTTCTCTTTCCTGGTATGCTGGAGGCACTGCTAAAAATAGAGTAAGTAGTAAAGCTACCTGGAGTAGTCTGAGCCTAAACAGTGGTAAAAACTAATTTACAGTGAATGTCAGTTCTGGCTTGTTTCCAAAGGAATGTTTTGGGATGGTTTGCTGTATACTGGAAATTGTTTGGTAAGGATTTGTTGGTGAACAGATGAATCAAAGTGACATTTCCATTACCAACAGGAGATCTGTCTGTGGTCAGAATTCATGGGGAAGGATGTGGGATGATAGTATGACTTTTCATTATATTTAATATTGTCAGAGAAATTAAATAGCCACTATTATTCATCTCTCTGGGGTAGTAACGTATCTGAATAGTAACACAAAATGGGAAATCTGATCAAAACCCACTGACCCAGCAAGGCATTGATGTGTATTTTAACCACTCTCTTTGGGCCACTCAGATAATTTACTCTTCATAATAAATTGGCAAGAAGCTATGGTCTGCATGTCTCAGGGCAGGGCAGGGGAGGATCAGTGTTCTGTCCCTGTGTGTGAGCCCTTTGGGATGTCCCAGTGCCACTCGTGTTCCCAGGGGAGCAGCATGATGGCCCTCAGGACATTTTGTCACCTGCCTGTGGGTTGGGAATAGGTGTCCAGAGATGATTTATGGGCACTGGTTTCCCTGTCAGACTCCGAGGAGGGGAGAGGTCTGTGGGGGAGGGCTCCAGCTCAGAGTGTAACCACTTACAGAAATGCAGGGATAGGAGAAATGCAAAAGGGTCTTGGGAGGCACTTTCACCTTGGGGAACAAAGACTGTAGGTTTCTTGTGAAAATTACTGAAGGCAGCTTGAAATGGAGTGTGCCAGAGGCACTGGCTGTATAAATGTATAGAGAACACATCATGAGGAGCAGACATTCAGGGAGGACTAATGGAGAAGGCATTACTGGTAATTAATGGCACTGTCCAAGCCCTTGTGGCTCACAATTCAGGACAGATGATGCCTGTAATTGATGTAAAGATGCAGACAGTTGCCTAAAACTTGCTGTGCTGTATTTTAAGTCATAAAGCAGAAGAGCTGGTGGACTTGTTTTGCATAAAGCATTTGCATTATGCAGGGATATTATTATTAACAGTATGAAGGGGTAACCCTTGAGGTCATAAAATGCATGGTTCAGTGACTGACTTTGACTGCAATTATGCATTAGAGATATTAATGAGAAGGCTGACAAATGAATTGGTGATGCATGTAGATCTAACCACAGCAAGGAGCCCTCCAAACCAGTGCTACAAAAAGTTTGCCATTTATCTTCCTTATCCACTGAGGCAGATGTAAATTAAGTTCTTTTATTATTTTTAAAATGTTGTTGTTGTTTTTGTTGTTAGAAGCTTGTTTTTATTGCAATGGTTTTTGCAGCACAGAGTTTATTATTCAGTTTTTTTTTTTACTGGAATGCTGTCTGATCAGAGGGCTTGGACAAGCTGACCTCCAGAGGCTCTTTCCAGCTGAAATTATTCTGTGATTCCATGAGCAGTATGCATCAGAACCCTCTGTTTAACACAACTTATCTGCTGAAGAATCTGTTCTGCCAACTGGAGCCCATGGAGCCGCAGCAGGGGCCATATTAATAGGTTGCTTATTTAATGCAATCAATCAATGCAAAGTACAGATTGCCTGAGGCTGGAAAAAGTATTGTTGTCCTCACACTTCTGACCAGACAGCTGCTCTGGGAGATGGCACGGGGGAGGCAGCCTGTGCCAGGCTCTGAGGCCCTCGGGATGCAGGCAGGATGGATGCCCAGCAGCCAGCATGGCCCTTGAATGAGTGTGGTACTAATGGCTCTCTACCCAGCCATGGCTGCAAAATAGCAAATGGAATGCCTGTAGTTAAGAGAGAAAAGGAAAAAAAGTAATTTGGTCGGGTACTGGGTCTTCGAGCTTGAGAATATGTGTTCAAGGGGAAAAAAAAAAATGTTTAATGAAGAGTAGACAGAATGCAACATGGATTTAAAGGCTAATTTTTCACTGTGTGTCTGATTGCCTGCCCTGTCTGCCTCCATACAAGTGGAGGTGATAACATTTTGGAGAGAAGGCTTATTTATGCTAAGGGGCCAGGCAGGAGGGGTTGGAATCAGTGTGAATTGTCCAAGAAGAACAATGGCTGAATCTCTTTAACTGTCACAGTAATGGGGCTGTGTAATTGCTTTTCTGTCTGAATACCAGGCAGCAAGACCTAGAGCCTAAAGACAGAGCAAGCTTGTAACAGGGCACATTCTGGCAAGCAGGGGATGTTAAAAATCAACGCCAAAAAAATTGCTTTCAGGCCTGTATGTTTAAGACACTGCTGTCTTAGTTTGGTTGTGCTGACTCAGTTCTGTGCTCTGCAGGGAGAAGGGCTCTTCCTGCAGGTGTGGGCGTCCAGCCCTCGCCCTCCTGTTGTGTTAGCAGTGGGTGAAGGCAGAAAAAATAGACTGGACACAGAAAAACTCTCTGGGATTGTGGGCAGGCAGCTGTGTTTCTCTCCCCAGAAAAGCAGCAAGGAAAGCTGAGACTTGTGGAAGGATGAAAGGACTTGGTAATGCACATAAACAAGAGGAAAATTAGTAGCAAATCAATGGATTTTTTTACCTGTATAGAAATCGGGGAAGGTGCCTCAAGTACAAGGAAATGGTGACAAAAATAATACAGTAATTGAAGACTGAGACATCTTCACAGGGAAGAGTTGCCTTCAAGGTATAAATGCAGCAGAAGGAAAGGAAGAATTGAGGAGTCTGTAAAGGACAGGTGGAGTGGGTTTGTCCTGCTGCTTTCTTCCCCTTCCCCTGAGCACTTGGGCTGCTGTGGCTGGCAAGGCTCTGGGACAGACTGTAGGGCTCAGAAGGTGCAGATACCTAATATTAATGATAATGATGATGATGATGATGATGATGATGATGATGATAATGTAGTATAGAAGCTCTGACAAGAGTGGCCAGCTCCAGCTGGATGCAAATAACCTGGAAATTCCTCTGGAATAGCTAAAAGCCAAGACTGTCAGGGTAAAAGACCTGCTGCACCTCTCCAGAGTGGGTGGAAGTGATTGACAGTTCTACTGACCCTCTAAGAAGACACTGAAACCTGAAGGGGATCCAGAACTGACACTATTTGACAGAACCAGCCCTGATGATGTAAGGTGAATAAAAATAATTCATGGGCTTGTGCTGGATCTGAGGCATGAGGAGAATGAGACTAAAAGAGAAAATCTGAGCATATTGTCTGGTCTCATGAGCATGAGAAACCACAGAGCCTGTTCTCACAGGAACAAATGTATTAAGATTTTACAGGCAGGGAGGGCTGGCAATGCAACATACAAAGATTGATACTGCTAAATGTGGTTTTGTCAGTCCACTGGAGGTTATGGAAAGCTCCAAAGAGAGACCTCAGAGAGAGCTTGGGGTCTGGTCTGCCACAGAAAAATGAGTGTGGAGCAGTGCCTGTGTGTTCTGTGGGAGGAGGATCAGCCTAGTCCCACCCATGTCATCCCGAGGGACAGGTTTTCCTGCAAGAAAGAGCCATGAAAACAGGATGAAGTTTGTGTGAGAGTCAAACTCCCTTCCACAGTGCCCCTTGGATTTGTGATGGTCCACCCTGGGGGATTTCTTCTCAGGGGACACTGCATCTCCAGTGTCTCCCATCATGTGCACAGCCCTGTGCCCTCCTGTGAGGGAGCTGCCTTTGCCCAGTCCCTTTGGGTGCTGTCACTGTCCCAGGGCACACACTGTGCACATCCCTGTTTTCCCTGGAGGTACCTGGAGGTGCCAAGCTGTGCATTTTGGCTGCAGTGTGGCACAGGGAGGCTGCATGGGCAGTGCTGCGCCTGTGTCTGCACAGCAGCTTGGAAGTGAAATAAATTGCTAACAACAGGGAGCTTAAACCAATGTCTTTGTGAGTGCAGCAGAGACCATCCTGCTGAAAGGGAGGTGGGAGCTGTGCCACTACAGTCAGTGTCCCCACGGAGATGTGCCCAGCAGGTTCAGAGTGTGGCTGTGGCCCCCTCCCATTGCCCAGGGTGTCTGGATCTGTGGTGGCAGTGCTTTCAGTGCTTTTGTAATGGTTTTCTTTTTCCCTCCCTGTTGTTTTTGGAATAAGCTTTAGAAGTGGATTATAGCCCAGCAGAGGGGAAGGGGGGCTGAACTCTCAGGTTACCTCTTGCCCTCCTTGCAGGAGCAGCAGAATGCACGTGTTCTGGGGTTTGCTGTGTTTGTCACACTGAGACCAGGGAGGTGACTCTTCCCAAGAAGTGTCACTGACTCTGAGAGGCACTGCGTGAGCCAGTGGGGCAGGGGAGGGTGGCTGCCACTGCCACTGAGCAGTGCAGCACAAGGACATCCCTCCAGCCCTCCACCCTCACCTTTACAGGGCAGGCTGCCCCGCCAGGCCTGTGGGCAGAACCTGGGCAACAAACTGTTCATCCATGGCACGTTGCTGGTTCCCGGATGGGGAGGAAGGAGCTCCAGGGCCATTTTCCTGTGTGTCCTCTGTGACCAGCAGCCTCCTTCCCTTGGGACAGGCTCCATGGCAGTGCTCACCTTGAGGGACCCTTGCACGGGCCCACAACCTTTCAGCTGGGTTAGCACATCTGAGCTGCTCTGTCAGCCCAGTCACCACATACTGGGGGAGCTGAGGTCACAGACCTTCTCCTGTCTCACTGCTGGGTGCTGATTTAGGAGCACATGGCAGAGCTTTGTACCCTGGCCCACATGACCTGGTTGGGCTCACCACTGTGCCCTGGGTTTGTGCCCCTGGAACCAAGGATCCAGTTGGGCAGGGGAAGGTTTGAAATTCCCAGGTCTCGTTCCAGTGTGTGTTCAAGCTATGATGCTGATTGATTTGATGTGAAAACACCTTTAGACAAATAAATAAAAAAGAACAGGCACGATTTTCTAACAAGTAATGTCATTTAATGAATGATACACTCTAGAAAATAGAAACTACCCAGATGCTGGTTGGTTGGTCTGTTTGGGGCTGGGAGAAGGCCCTTGCTTGGACGTACAACGCCTTCGTGGGATTCTTTTGTCAGCATTTGTAGTTGCTGGAAAGAAGGAAACGTCCATAGATTGAAAGAGACACCAAAGGAGCAATTGTTTTCTAAAATGTGGGAAGCGTGCAGGATGCCGTCCCACTCTGTGTCACTGGGCAAGTGGCATGAGGGCTCAGAGCTCACCAACACCTTCACAGACAATCCATACCTAAAGGGGACCACGGGACCTACCCCAGTCCAGTCCTCTAAAGTCACGGCAGACCCGGCACTTTGCACAGCACCCGTGGGCTCTGGTGTTACTGCACTGCTTTCTGGGTGCCTGGCTGCATGTGTTGTGTCTCTTCCCTCCAAGTCTGGCTGCTAATTCCAGGGAATATGCTTTTCAGAATGTCACAGTAGACCATGTAGAGCTCTGGGTCTATTCTGGGCTTGGGCAGGGAGCGGGAGTTGCAGGCCTGCTCGGTGGCTGGGTGCTGTGGCCAGTAGACGTCGCTGAAGAGGGCGGTGAGGATCTTGTGGGCAGCCTTGTAAGGGTCATCCTCAAACTGCACCATGGCCTTGAGCTCTGTCAGGGTGTAGCCATTGTACCTCTTGCTGTCCTCGGCCAGGGGCTGCACCGTCTCACCTATGTGTCTCACCTTCCACTTCAGGCATTTCAGGTCTTCCTTTACATCCTCTAGCTCTTTCTCCATGGCTTGGAATTGCTGTGTGGTTACAAATCTCCTGCCAAGGAAAGAAGTGGCAGAGACAGGGTGGAGTTCAGAGGCTCGGAGGAGTGGGATGAGCCCAGCTGGCCTGGGGTCGGAGCAGGCAGTGGAGGATTGGGGGGGACATCCCGGCCATGTCGCTGAGCACCATCCCCTGCTCTGCTCTGTCGGCTCCAGGGGACAGCAGAGCTTCTCCCTGCTGCTACCAGGGAAAGTTTGGAAGGAAAGGAGGCACCTGAAACTGTGCCCTGCTGGTGGAGCTGAGGTTGACGACCTGGCCCAGGGCAGTCTGGAGAGTTAAATGGGTATATGGAAATAGGGCATTTTGCTTCCTGGGTTACAGGGTTTAGTGGAAGCACAGGGTGGGTACTGGAAAACAAACACTGGGAAGATCTGAGTCATAAAAGATATTTAACTTTTTTATGGGGGGGGCTCTTACTGATTCTATATCAACACGGGCTGTTTGAGGACTTAGACACCTGTGTGGTCTGGATACATACCTCTCATGATCAGGATCTTCCAGATCTGATTCAAACCCCTTTCCTGTATTCTTTACTTCAGTTTTAGAATAGCCAGGAGCCTGGGAACTCTCTTCAGGAGTCGCTGTTGCTGGAGGCCTTGTGCTTGTCCTGGTTGGGGTCAGTGTGTGATCTGAAGCTGAAGCTCGTACGTTTTGTGCTGAGTGAGGACAGAAGGTGGAGAAGGAAGCTGCATTGATCCCTGGGCTGACTGGAGAGCAGTCAGAGTATTGCTGTGGCTTGGCTGAGCTGGGTGTTAGACTGAGCCTGAGGCTGGCTGGGCAAGATGTTGGAATAGTCCTTGCTCCGAGTGGGCTGGAACACGATATTGCTAAATTTGTATCTCTTTGCTCAAGTGGTTGAGGGTTTGGTGATTCCCCTGGGGCCAATCTAGTGATGGAGGTGATGTCCAGCAGGGTTTGATCCTGAACCATGGAGATCTGGCTGGTTGGTTCTGATGAAAGTGAAGAGCTGCTTGATGAGTCGCTGGAAGAGCTTGACGTAGCGAATGGGGGAATTTTCTGAGCATTATGGTCACTCCTGTTCCTCTGCGGGCTAGTGACACTTAGAGCTGGGTGTTGTGAAGCCCTAAAGAAAGACAAACACACACTTTTTCCTCTGCACTGGGCTAAAGGCTTATAAGAAAAATTTAGGCCTATTTTGGGACAATTTTAAGCCTGTTTTCCACAGCTGCATTTCCCCACAGGCTGATTTGCCTATCGTGTCTGTATAAAACCCTTTGCTTCTCAGGACCAAGAGCAAAGCATTTGAGAATAAGGTACATGAATTCAGGACCAACTCCTCCCTGCTGTCAACTGAGCACGTGTCAGCTGTCCTCAGTGTGAGAACCACTGGGACATCCACATTCTCCTTCCCAAAATCACACAGCTCTGCAAGAACCAAGGGTTTGGTGCTGGGGAAGGACAGGAAGGGATGAAAGCTCCTGGCACAATGACTGTGAGAACACAAAAACCTGGCTGCAGGTGGCCACAGCACCTCTCCCTGCCCATCCTGCCCAGTGTGAAGACCTGCCTTTCTTCTGTGGGCCCTCATGCTTCAGTATCCTGGGAGCACTGCCTGGGAACCCAGGGAATTAGAGGATGGCTAAATTTTTCTTAGTCTGTCAATACTGATGGCAAGAGAGGAAGATGTTCCACCCCTGTGGCTGGAACTGTCCTGGCAGGTAGGGAATGCAACTAGAAATGCCTTGACCTTGAAGTGGACACAAAGACATTCACTGTGCAGATCATGGTGCAGGATTTTTAACAGCCAAAGGACATGACAAGCTCTTGTAGTGATGCCAGGGACCAACTGAGTCTTTTTGTGCATCTGGTAAATCCTTGTGGTGGAAGACAGCAGCAAATCCTGGTCTGGATGGGATGTGTGAGATCTGCATGAGGTCCTGTCCTGTCAGCACCAGCGGCCTGAATTAGCTACACAGTCACTTCTCCTCCTCCCTGCACTTTTCTCAGTGTTGGATGCAATTAAACACCAAACATTTAAGGTTCTAAAGAGCATGTCTCACACCTCTGGGCTTCAATAGGGTTAATTTGCTAAATCACAGCTTAATTATCAGGTCTAAATCAAATTTAAAGGTTTTATAATTGGAAATGCAGACAGTTACAGAGCTACTGCATAAAAGCAGGGCCTAAAAGGAATCATGAAATGGGTTATGTAAAGGGCAGGAGAGAAAACAAGCACACAGGGAATACCTGGGACAGCCTTGCCTTCTTAGCCTGGCCGAACTGGACTGGAAGGCCAGAATTGCCAACTGGGCATGAGGAAAAGCTTTTATACCCTGAGGGTGTTCAAACAGTGGGGTAGAGGCCAGCAGAGGTATTGGGATATCTCCATCCTTGGACTTGTTTAAATCTAACTGGACAAGGAATGAAGCAGCCTGATCCAGCCTGGACATTCTGGGAGCACAGGACTGACCAGAGCCCTCCAGGCTCCCTGTCCATACTGAGCTATTCTGTGGTTTTTCCTAACTGTGAAAATAATTTATTCCTCCCCCCGTTCCCCTTCCTCTTCTCAACTTTTCTCCCCTCTGAGTCCCACCTCACTGTCCTTCTCTTCCATTGGAACCTCTGGGCTGTCCCTGTTCCCACTAACTTTACCTTGCCTGTTGTAGGAGAGTCCCTGATGAATAAAAAGGTTTTTACAGGAAAACCAGAGTTATTTGGCTCAGAGTGATTTCTGCCCCTTCCTTGCATGTCAGGGTCAGTAGCTCAGGCTTTGAACTGTGGCTGACAACAGACAACCCCACTTTAATGCAATTAAAACAAAAATGCATTTTGGTACATGTATTTATCCTAAAATATAACACCATGTAAAACTATCTGAACTGAACTGAGAACAATCCCTACCTCCATTCTAGGGGGAAATAGGATATGCACAGTAAGTGAAAGGCTATTTGGGTGCACATACAGTCTGAAAGACTTAATTTCACATCTTTAGTAGTGTGGGACAGGGTTGGCTTTTGGGGGGGTGGTTTGGGGAGTTTTTTGCATAAATCCAGGATTAGCTGTAGGAGATGAAGCATTTATTGAAAGATGCAATTTAAAAGAGTGACAGAAAGCACGTTTCATAACTAATCCCACTGAAATTTATATAAGAAACCTTTCAATTCACCTGTGCACTGGAGGAAACAAGAAGTGTATTATAAACTGTCAGCTTATTTTGCTTCCCTTTTCCACCCCTTAGTTTTTGCAGGCTGCCATGCTCCACATGGGACTGCATTTACTTTTATCATCCTCCTTATCTCAGAAGCAGAAAAACTGGTAGCTCAAGAAGCAATGTTAAAGCAAAATGTCAGTCTGGATGTTAGCAGAGGTAAATGAGGACAGAACTGAGACCTTTAGCCTTGGAATTTCCTAGTGGGCAAGGCTTTGCCTGAAGACAGGAGCGAGATTCCCGCTGCCGCCGGTGCAGCGAGGCTGGATCTTCGACCCGTAACCATGGTGCTTTAGCAGAGGGGATTTTTCCCCACCTGCTTTTTGTGGTTTTTTTTGTTTTTTTTTTTTTTAAATGTGGTGAATCACTATGAACTGAATAAATTACAGGAAGAATTGCAAGAGTTGGAGCTGGAATCAAGGCTGACATGAAATAGGCAGCTGATTGCAGCTGTCAGGTACCTCCACAAGGAGAAACCTTGGCTCAACTTTGAGCGACACTTCAAATGCGTCAAGCCCTTGTTGTCTGCCGCCTCCCAGCCTGTGCTGCTCAGCATATAAAGCATGTTCCCCGTTGTCACAGTGACCTTGGCTGCCGTCTGTGCCTTGCCCTCTCCAGCTGAGCTGGTGCTACAGACTTTTTTGGAGACATTTGAAAGTTGCCTGCACAGCCAGCACCACTTTGCTTCCATGGCACTCATGATGGAGGGAAAAAAAACCAAAACAAAACCCAGTGGATATTCTTTTTTTTTTTTTTATGAATCGTTTCCACTGTGTTTTAAACCTAGAGTTCTTCTGATGAACTTGTCTGAATAGAAAAAATTACACTATGCTTTAGAATGAAGCACTGAGGGATTGGTTGCATAAATCTCACTGTAGACAGCCAGGGTGGGAGGATGGTAAAAGAGCTGTAGGATGGACCCAGGGGAAATGCCTACAGGGTGATGACATGAGAATAAAACTATTTTTTCAAGGCCTCCTCTTCGTCAGGTGACCCTTCTGAAATGCCCACGCTGCCAAAACAGTGACATATTATTTCTTTAACACTGAATTAATTTTGAATAATCTCTCAGTTTTCTACAAAAGAAGCTGGTGTCCTGAACTCTGGGTTTATCTGCCTCAAATAACACCAAGGCTTTCAGCCACAGAGAGCAAGAATTTGCTGTTTCCTGTTCAGCTCTTCCTCCTCTGGGCTATTTATCTCTTCTTTGGCTCTGCCACCACACCTGTCCTTCCTTGTCCTTTGTGATATTTCTCCTGCCTCTCTCTTTTGCCCATTTGACATTCACCATCTGCACCTCTCCCACCTGCCCCGTGGGATCCAGGCTCCTCATGTTAATGCCTCATGGTGGGAGAGCTCTGGAGGAAAGGGTGGAAGGAAAGGGTGGCATGGCCATATAGATGTCTGAAATCAAGGACTATTTCTGGCTGGAGCCTAACAACAGTGAGTACTTCTTGCTAATAAATAACTGTACAACAACAACAAAAATATCCCGATGTGAAACTTCTCCTTCTATATTTTTGTGCAGTGGCTATACACAGCTGGAACATTGAGATCTCACAGCCCTGCACTTCTGAAAGAAAAAGTTGAGACCTCCAAGGTCAAAAATTACAACAAATAGACTTTCCAAGTGTCTGGAAATGTTAAATTTGGTATGTCCAGGGGTATCAGAGGTATAGGGGCCAGTGCCATATGTTTGCACAGGAAGGCAGCTTGGGGAGAGCAGAGGATGCCAAGTTATAGTTAGAGCTCCCTGGTGCTGTTCTCAGCCCAGGTAAGTTTAAATCCTGCTAAAGGGGTTTAAAGGAAATAAAATAATTTTCTTTTTAACCCTGTTAAAAGAAAATTATAGTTCAGTGATGGACATTAAATGGTTTAATATAGAATTATCAAGACTGAATAACTGCATTGTCCTGATTGAGACTCTTCTGGATTCAAGTTTCTGATGGAATTTATCATTTAAGGCCACTTCTCAAAATGGAGAGCTCAGTCTTGCCAGCAGAGGAACCTGATATCCTGCCCTGGCATTAGGCCCTTTGTGCTACCTGTGCTCCCACAGTGCTGTTGGGCTGCTCAAAAACTTTTAACATTCTCTCTTCCAAAATCACCTGGCCAGGTAGTGTTTGTCTCCCACAATGGCTCAGCCTTGTTCTCCTCTTTACAGCTTTTGCTCTTTCACTCCTCAGGGACACTCCCCCACATCCTTTCCTCTCAGCAAGGACAGGTGCCCTGTTTTGTCTTGCTGGGAGGACAGAAAGATTCACGCCGCCCCAGGATGAGCCAGGACTCCTCATCTGCAGTTTGCTCCAGGCTGGAACTCCTCAGAGCACTCCTGGCTGTGCTGGCAGGTCCTGCAGGGAATGAGGTGCTGGTGGAGGAGAGCAGCAGGAATAACTCCAGGTGGTGCCTCCTGGTGTCCTGCTGGCATGGGACCACCCCTGTGGGAAGCGTCCATGGAGTGCTCCTAGTGACCCGCTGGCATTTCCTCTGCTGGTGGCACGTGGCTGCTGGCTTGGTCTGTTCCAGGTGATGTGTCCCCTTCTTCCACACCACCCATGGGGCCAGTGTGACCTTGGTGGCTGCTCTGCCTTTGGCCAAGCCCATCTCTTGCCGTTCTCAATCCTCTGCTGGCCACGGGCCTCTGGAATGGGGAATGTGACAAGGACTGGGAGTGTGGGACACTGGAACCAGCATCAAGGAGGATCCTGGGGTCAGGCCCAGGCCAGTTATGGCTTGGTGGACTTGCTTGAGGAAGGAGAGGTTCATCTGAGGGTTGTGAGGCTTTGTGCCATCCCAAGCAGCAGTAACTAATGGTTTTTCCTCCCTAATGAGCATGGATAATGAGCATTTTGCAGCTTCTATTGGATTTGTAAGTAAACTGTGAACTGAGAGCACAACTTCCCTCCTGTCACTTC